TATAGTACTTTAAGTACTACTGAGAAATAAATATGGAGCTTTTTCTATTTTTTTTAAAAAGCTGCTAATAAGAATGTGGCAGTATCACATTATTCTTTCCAACCCAAATAATTATATAAGAAAATCATGAAAAGGCTTTGGGCTACCAATAGAGGAGAATATTGATAGCTCAGGGTTGAATTGTGGGGTCCTTGGTGTTCTCTGAGCTTGGTGATATTCTCACAGATGTTTCATTACCAAAATGGGCCTGGTGGCTCAGCAGACTGAAAGCATTGTGATTAACACCAGCTGTCTGCAATTACTGTAAGTTCGAATCTCACAAGGCTCAAGGTTGACTCAGCCTTCCATCCTTTCTAAGATAGGTAAATTGAGGACCCAGTTTGTGGGGACAATAAGCTGACTTTGTATAAATATACAAAAAGTATGAAGGCTATTGCTTAACGCATTGTAAGCCACCTTGAGTCTTCGGAGAAGGGCGGCATATAAATCAATTTTTTAAAAAAATAGGTAATATCATCAGTGCATCATCTTAGCACTGATGGTGTTAGTTAGTTTGATAATGAAACATCTCCAAAAATCCACCAAGTTCAGAATGCATCAAGGACACCATATGTTTTGGGCTGTTTGTCTACCTATTAGCATAATAACTCTTTCAAAAGAACAGGACCAAGTCTGCTGTGAAAAAGAAGTGTCATAGGTAAAATAGACTTTGGAAATAAGTCAATTCTGGCAGTGGCCATAGAGAAAAAACAAAACAAAACAGAAAAGTTTTTCCTATGCATCCTTCTAGGACTTGCAGTTGGGCAGTTCCTTGGATTGCTGACCTTCTCCTCATTCTAAATTGCCTGTCTCATCTTAGTTTTATAAGTGGTCCAGAGTAAAAGTACTCTTAATTTTTTTGTGTTAAATTTGTGAACCAAATCTTATGAAACAAGACTTTCATTTATATGGCATTTCTAAGTGTTTTGATATCTTAGAACATGGATTTCTTACTTATAAAGATTATACATTCATCATTATTTTACTGAAGCATCTAAGAGTCTACTTTAAGTGCTGCTGCCTTCTGTTCTTTTCAAGCCATAAGAGCTAGCAACCAATACAGCCTCAATCACAGCTGCATTTTCAGCCACTTGAATGCCACTTAATTATGCCAGACTGGTACAAGCTTGCTGTTCACAACAGAGAACTTTTCTTTGGTCCTTATACAGACAATGCCATACTTTAAAAAGGAAACAGGACTTCACTCCGTGCTCTTTTATCATCCAGGTAAGAAAAATCTGCTTTAAAATGCAGGGTACTTGATAAATAATGCCTGTTCCGCTTGTAACTAGTTTCCTTATCCAAAAAAATACTAGAGATAGTTAAGCAGCCAAAGACACTTCAACAATATCCCTGCCAGGAGCTTCTATTAATAAAATATGAGAAAATATGTTCCTGGAAAAATAGTTAGTGGAAAAATTAAGGTTTTCTATTAGCTTCATTTTAATTAGCATTTATCTAATGGTTAAGATGAAATCCATAAACATTGACAATAAATAAGTTGTGAAAGAAAATGTGGAATAGATATGTATCAGAAATGGTCATTCTAGATGTCATTTAACTAATCTCATTTGGATTTTCAGAATCAAACCTAGGACATTTCAAATTAATGCATGAGCTAAAGCAACAAGACAAAACAACAAACAGTGAAACAAAGAGCCATTTGAAACACTATCAACCTTCATTCATTCATTTAGGCAGGGGTGTCAAACTCAAGGTCCATGGGCCAGATCCGGATGCTTAGAACTGGCCTGCAGGGCATGCCAGCAAAAAATTGAGCTCATGGGGGTTGCGTTCAGCCCCCACAAGCTCCGTTTTCACTGGCAGAGGGCTATCAAAACAAACTAAAAACAAAACAAAATGAGAAATGTATTTGAGAATAGGACAGAAAAGGAGAAAGGGAAAGAGGACAGAGAAAGAAAAAGAAGGAAAGATGGGAAGGAAGAAGAAAGGAGAATGAAGAGAGAAAGAAAAAGAAGGGAAGAAAGGAAGGAAATTATAATTTATTTTATTTATTTATTTATTTTGTCAGATTTATATGCCGCCCTTCTCCCGTAAGACTCGGGGCGGCTCACAACAATAGAATAATGAGAGTGAGAATGGGTCTCAGGGAAGTCCTGCCTTAGCACTTGGCTACCACAGGTGCCCCGGAGATGAGCGACATCAAACTGGCCATGCCACCCTGGCCCTCCAAGGTCAAACACAATCCTGATGCAGCCCTCAATGAAATTAAGTTTGACACCCCTGATTTATGGCAAATTAACTTTCTTTGGTGTTCCCTTCATAATTTGAAAGACATTTTTTAAAATATGGTATAGAAAAGATCTTCCTTTAAGAGTTTTTCTCCTTTTATCATAATATTTATCACAAACATTCCAATTTAAATCTCAGACTCAGTAATATCAGTAATATGATCACTATAAAACAAAAAGTAGCTACTCTGTTAATCACAGAAAATAGAAATTTTATTTTCTCAAGAGCTAGGTTGGTTTCTCAAAACAAAGTTCCACCTCTAGTTGCATGACTGCAAATTTTCCTCATGATTCAAGACCAGGCTTACAAAATTACAGCATTTGGAATTCAGAATGTGTGTGTGAGCAACTATAACATAATCTTTCATGTTATAGTTGTAGAACCTTGATAAGACTCATTGTTTTCTAACACTAACCCAAACTAGTAGCATCTCAATCAGCATAAATAACAATTTCAACAATGATCTCTGGGATTTTTCAGAGAAAAAAATATGCTTTGATGCCTCGAGAAAAGATATTGCTTCTCTCTTAATAATGCAGACTAACTTAAAGCAGCTTTTCCATTGCTATAATTCAGATCACAAATATTTTATTCATACGCCCTAAATTAAATGGAGCCAAGCTAGGATTTTTAGCACAAAGTATAAGTTCCTCACTGAAAACCCCCTTTCTGCGATTGCAAAAGGCTGGGCCCTAGAGAAACAAGGTAGATAGCTCAAACAACAATTGTTTTGGTTTTATGAAAGGGCAGAAACATTTTTATAAAAAATAAAATAAAATGTATTGGCCACCATCTTATTTCAGAGTAACTCTGGGCAAAACTTGTTTTGTAGATCACTATTGTAATCAGTATTGAACAAATATTTGTGAGAAGTTCTGCCAAATCTTGATAATTTCTTTGCCATTTATTGATTCAAGTAGTAAAACATCTTGAATTGGCCTTGAGAAAATGCATTTAATTATATACAGATTAATTCAGGACATGAATGTTTCTTCCAATGATACGTTTCTTAGAATATTTGATATTAATATATGTATCTTCATCAGCATACAGAATACAATAGTAGAAATGTTTATTATTGTGAAAGTATACAGTGAAATTAGGTAATTCCACACTATAATGTGCAAATGTTGCCCTTGTTATCTGTAATAACAATAAGAGATTTTGGAGAATTTACAGTCTAGGCATCAGAAGTGGTATTCAGCAGATTCTGACCAGTTCTGGAGAGTAGTTCAGAGGACCGGTAAATACCACCTCTGACTGGCCCCACCCCCATCTATTCTCTGCCTCCCAAGTCCCAGCTGATCAGGAGGAAATGGGGATTTTGCAGTAACCTTCCCCTGGAGTGTGGTGGGAATGGAGTATCCTTCCCCTACCACATCAACCAAGCCATGTCCACCAATCCATGCCACGCCCACCATGCCACGCCCACAGAATTGGTAGTAAAATTTTTGAATCCCACCACTGCTAGACATATATATTTATATGCCCTAATTTTACACTATTCAAGTTACACTAAAAAGCTAAAATTTCTGTTGTATCATTTTGCAAAACCATGCCATTAAAACTAAAAAAATTCCTTAAAATCTGGTTTAACAATATATCCTGAATTCTCTTTAGCTAGCACAACTGTATTTTGGTAAACTGGTAAAATATATGTACGTTTTGATGATTAATATCATAATCTGCTAACTTGGTCCATGTTGCTGGAGGTGATGAAACCTGAACTAAAACATTTACCCATGCTGAAATAAATACAAAATCCACTTCATTTTTACAGAAGATGCATTCAAAACCTTTCAAGGGGTAAAATATCCCACACTGTATTTCTGGAGTACAGTTCTTGAATTATGAGGAGAAAACAGCAAAGCTATTGAAATTGATTAGCAGTCTTCATCTGCTAGTTCTATCTTATTTTAGACAAACTTTCTTTGAATATAGTCTTCTAAATATTTGGCTAAGTGTGTAAGCCCCACTTCTTCTTTTCTATTATTTAAACTTGGCTAATTTCAATGTTTCTAAATATTCTCATAAAACATAAACTCATAAAATGCTACATCCATCATAATTTCCCAGTCAAAACTGCATATTCCTGAGACTAGCTGTCAGAACCAAAAGGTACATATAGACTTATTTCTAAGTACTTTCCTTTTTTTCCTCATTTATAGAGAGAAATCTTGCCAAACTGAAGCAAAGTTTTTGCATCATTAAATATATACTCTGAACTTCTGTGGACTGACCCTTGCTCGATCCTCTTCCTCCCAACAAAACAGTGGTGGGTTGCCCCTGGTTAGGACCGGTTTGCAAGAACCAGTAGTAAAACCAGTAGGAGGCTCCACCCACCGACCCAGACATCGTCAGGAAGCTTCTGCCATGGGCAGAAGCATCACACGTGAGCGAAGCAAGCAAGCGTGGTCCCGTTGCAAACCAGTAGTAAAGGTAAATAGAACCCACCCCTGGAACCAAACTATCTAAACTTTGCTGTCTCTTTGTCCTCTGGAATGCAGCCCCTCCTGTTTGGAAACCCAGATTACCTTGCACTATAGTAACTCATAACAATGCAATAGAAGTGAAGTTATATTCTTTTCCTTTTGGAGATACCAACAACAATGAATTCATTTCTGACATGGCTAAACACTTTTAATTCCTATTATTGGGGGATATACTTTCTTCCTCTAATATTTTGCTAGAATCATACTGTTTCTTACCTCATTGCCTTTGCTTACTCGTCTTGCAACGATCAGTTGAATCATTCCCCGTTTATTTCCCTCTGTGGACATGGATCTACGCAAAGTTTCCATGGCATCTTGGTTCGTCTTTCCCAATAATGATTCTCCATTTACTGCTATTAATTGATCATTCACCCGGAGTCTTCCATCCTAACAAATAAAAAGAAAACTGAGACTTATTAAAGGCTTTTTCTGGCTTCATTAATTTAACAAAACAGAACAGAAAAAAACATAACAACATAAATTATGAATTTTTTTATGCATATGTATGTGTGTGTGGGGGGAGAAATTTTATATAATAGTTTCAATAAAATATTACCATGTTTTATCAGACTCATCCAAATAGAGTGCATATAGTGCATGTATTCATTCATAAATTGCAAGTAATATCAGGTATTCAATTCATTGGGTAATTGGGATAATAAATTTATCTTTCCAGAATTAATTTCTTGGCAAAAGTAAGGACACTTCCATTGTACAGCTGTCAGTTTCCATGTAGTACACATGTAGTTCAAAATAATGTGTATGTTCAAAAATATTACATGAATATTTAAATAAGAATGTTTCCCTTAAAATCAAATTAATGTATATAATTACTTTTTACCGAAACATAACTTTGGAACATTACAAAAACATATGTTTTAATAAGCATTGTTCTTATTGCATCTCCAATAACTTGATGATCTCCTAATATAGAAGACTTACGACAATTGTGAACCAATTTTCCCTTGTTAAGCAAAGTAGTTAAGTGAATCACACCTGATTTTATGACTTTTAGATGCAAATAATTTCCTATAACTGAAAAAAGATGTGCTAGGAATACTTAGTTGTGGTTTCACAGATTATACAGTAAATACAAACTTGACATGTTTAATGAAATCAGTCCATCACATTTCTTTCTTTTCTTGGCCCTTCTTGCCTTGAGCTAAAGGTCAAGAGTGATCTTAATAGACCACAGGTGTCAAACTCGCGGTGTCACGTTGCCGTCACGTGACTTTTGTGGCATTTTCCCCATTTGTGGAACTGGAGTAGGTGTGGCCTGCATGTGACGCATCCAGCCCATGGGCTGCCAGTTTGACACCCTGTGGTAGACAGACACTGTAAAAAGAAGATGCTGACAGAATCTCTTACAAGACTTCTATTAATGTAGCTTTACACTAAGTAGAATTGGTTTATAAGGTTTTATTTCCTGTCTGTTTACATCACAGATTGATCAAAACAGGATTCTCCCACCATCTTTTTCACAGCCCAAACAACTAGAGAGGGTCACTTCTGAGTCTCGTGCCCTGCCCATTTTGCTGTGCTGTCTCTTATCTGAGTGTTTCCTAGACAGCATTCTCCTAACTGCCTTTTCCCACATAACATTACACACTCTGACTGGAATCACCCATTATATTAAACCATGCTGAATCAAAACCCTTAGTGTAGGGATGTCAAACTTGCGGCCCTCTGGCCAGATGCATCACACACTAACCAGCCCCATCCCAACTTTTGTGAAGAGGAAAAAAATCAAGCTAGGTCATGTGACGGCACAAGTTTGACATCCCACCTTACTCTTTTGCTTTAGCAAGCGGATACTATCTATTGGACATATTACAAACCTAAATTATATAATGTTTTATTTGGAGCATCCGAAGTGCAGATAACATTTGCTGCATCATCAGCATCATCATACCAATTATTCAAATAGAAAACTGGGAAATGGAGGAAGGAACGATGCATAACAGGAAATCAATAAAGGTTTGCCTAAGAGATGCTGGATTATGGAACATTATCTGACATGTCTGAAATATACTTGCCTTAGAAGCTGCTCCGCCATTAATAATGGACTTCACAAAGATGCCAAGGTCTGCATGATTCTCTTTTGACCGGTTACCTTTCACACTGACGCCAAGTCCAGCTGACCCAGAATCATTAAGTGGAACCTCAAAAGTGAGAAATTCTCTGGTGCCATCAGCGGTAAGAACAATATCCTCTTCTTCTGGTTTCTGTTAGAAAAAATTCAACATGGTATTTTTTTTTAAAAAAAAAAATCTTGTTTGCAATTATTCTTAACTACAACTACATAATATTTTGAAAAATGGTGGCAGTACAATACTACTACTGTAATCGCTATTAACATTCTGTAGGGAAATTTGTGATAATGGTACATCTGCCAGCACCGTCAAATAATTCCTAGAACCAGATGTGGCAGTCTGCATGTATAAAAACAGAAGGGGAAATGGCTGTATGTATGAGAGAAAGAGAATATATGCACATGGATTTAAATGTGGTATTTTCTCGATTATTACAAAATACAACTGCTTAATTTCCAAACAGGAAACTATTATTGGATGCATTAAACCTAATGTTCTGCAAGTTCATTTGTCCTTTGAAATAGTGGCATTTGAATATCTATGTTTCCTAAGCAGCAAGAAAGTTACTAACAGCAAGCAAACAGATAAATACCAATTAGTCATTTGTGTGGTTATTCTTTTTCAGTTAGGACTATTAATATTATTCAAAGAAGTGACAGGAAAAAACCACCTAAAATACAGTCAGGTAACAGCAAGTCCTTTTACTCTGAGCACCAGAAAAATTCTATGCAACACAGTACTGCCAGTATAATTTTCTTTTGTCTACTCTCTTTTCACACATTCTACCTTTGTTCCTTTCAGTATGCTGCCTTAGAACCAAATAAATAATAAGAGATATTCACCCTTCTGAATACTGCCTACAGACAGAGGCGTCAAACATATAGTGAGAAGATAAGATATATGCCGTTTTGCTACTGTATTTTAAACATTAAACACTCTCACACTCTACATATTGTCATGTTGTGAATACATTTGCTTTTGAGCGAAGCAAGAATGGTGAGCAATGATTCGCTGCCTTAACAAGGAAACTGTGCAGATGTAGCCATTAAGGTGTCGCTAGATAATATCAATGTATTTATTTAGGAAACTTATATGCATCTCCTTTGAGAGACGTTTGCCACTGTGTATAATGTGTTTTCTTTGCTAACATCAAAAGAGAAAGTGATGACTCAATTCAGCAGTGGATCCACATTTAAGATTAGAACTAAAGAGTTCCCTTCTGCACTCTCTGCTTGAAAAAAAGATGATTTTTCCCACTAAAGCAAAACATTAATTTGGTTAAGGATCAATACATTCCATTGTATTGCCTCTATGTGCCATCTGCTTGATCATAGGAATGCACAAGTGCCGGGAAAGGGGAGGGGGAGGGGGAGGGAAGTCTATTTAAAGAAATTTTAAAAAATAATGGTCAGGAGCTACTTTATCATATTTAAAAAAATATTGTTTAAAAAATAAGTTAAGCACCACCAAAATTGTGAAATGTGGCATTTGTAATCTAGAAGTTAAAAGATTACACAATAACTTATTTGCAATAACTTTCATTTGATCTTGATGTGCTCTAAATTAAAAACTTCAGTGTGTCAATCAAAACAGGTTGATACAATTTTGCCGATTTAATGAACGGCAGAAGAAATTTATTGCATCTTGTTTTACCAACAGAAATAAAATAAAACATCCCCATCAATTTATTTAGTGCAATGATTGAACAACACGATTCAGCTCCCTCAAGAATAGTATCATATACCACATCTGAAATAATTAGTAACTTCACAATACTCTGCTTAGAACTGCTGTTCTAAGAAAAAGTCACTTCAGCTGAATGAAGTTGTTCAAGTATGTAATTTGCAATAAAATTTGGTGAGTGATAAAGCTGTGACTTCTTGGTCTTAAATTAAAATATACCATTGATACCCACAGCACTGGCATGTAGGGGTTAATTTTGGAACTGTCTTATTCCCCAGCTCACACAAAGAAAACCCACATATTTCCACATTCACTCCATGTTACTTTTGCTTCCTATGCCTTGTTGTATTACTCTCATCTTTTCTCCATTATTGCTTGGTAGCCCTTCCCAGCAATGGAAATACATATTGATACACAGACAATGTCAGTCAGAAGGTGAAAATAGCAATAGCATGTCCATGCTACTTTTGTCATTTTCGACTGACATAATGGACACCAAGCTAACAATCAATGTTGTACCTACACAACTTTTTACTGGCTAGCTTGCTATAGGGCAAATGTTTCTCTATTTTCCCCTCAAAGCAGAAAGGCACAAACATGTTTCCAAATGGCCATAATGTTTCTCATTCACTCAGAAAAATGGCAAATATATTAAAGTATGAATGCAAGAGAAACTTGTGTGGACAGAATAGATTTTCAGCACACTGAATCTTAATCACCATCTAAAGCTGGACATGAACCAAATACTGCCTAATAAATTGCATGAACCTCTTAATACACCATTTTGAAGAGAAAAAGAGAACCAAGCTGTTATGCTGGGTGTATGACCATAATGAAGATTTGATTTGACTAACTAGGCTATTGATTTGACTAACTAACTATTGCTTATTAAAAAACCAATAACAACTCTAGTTTAATATAGTGACAAGGATTTTCTTTTTAAATTTCTTGCAAAAGCTGTTCAGCAGCCAGAACTAAGTTGCACTGAACACATTTCAGGCCTTTGCACCCTCTAAAGCAGAGTTTGAGAGGGTAGGCTGCAGAAGACAAGACGGAGTTGGAACAACATAAATCCAATATATGAGTTGAAATGCAATTATTATCAGTGTATGATCTGTCTTTCTCTGGAGAGCTATTCTCTCAGCCTAACCTACTTCACTAACAACTACATCTCAGCCTAATTTACCTCACAAGTCTGCTGAGAGGATGAAATGACAGCCTCAAGTATATCTGTCCTGTGGAGAAGGGTATACAAATGTGATAATTGGATTTTTAGGGGATAGTCTGGGCAAATCCAGGCTTGTAATTCTCCTGTGATATCTATACCCCAAACTCTTTCTTTGACAAGCAAAGCACATGAACAAAGCTCGTGAGATTTCTACCTTTTTTTTCCTAGCTAAACTTCTATGACTTTACACTCAGGATATACTGACTTTGATTTGTTCTGGCAGAATTCTCTTCAAACGGTACTCAAAGCTATAGAGGGAATAGTTCTGTTTTGCTCAGAGTATTCCCTAGCCAGAAAATTCATAAGCTTTTTCCATCTCAAAGTGCATCCCAGGGTGTGCTGCATTAAGATTTAAGTTAAAGATTGTCTTCCTCTTCTAGCAAGGACTTATAGTGACCATATGAATTCTAAATAAAATCTAACAAGTCATAGAGGGTACTTGAAATAGGTACAAATGAGAGGAGGAAAGGTTTGAACCAAGATTTGCAAAGATCTACTCTTGATACCAAGGCATAGCAGAACTTTCTATGACTGGAAGTCATTCTGGCTGGGAATTTAGAGAATTATAGGCCCAACCTATGTGGAAAACATTAGACTGAGAAAGCTAGAGACTTAGCTTAATGTTAAAAATGGCTAAAGGAATGTTTTATTGAGTTGCTGTTTAAGCAATTACCTGGTAACAATTAAAACATGAAGCAGTTTGGAATATCTGTGTTGACACACATAGTGTGCATAACCTTAGCAATACAAGACAAATGACATCGACTTAAGAGAAACTTTCCACTTCCACGATGATGTCGCTACAAGGTATTATCTGTTATTTGTTTTGTTATCCAACTAAATCAACTAATTACTTGATCAGCTGGACACATATTGATATCCAAGTTAGTGCTATTTCAGAATTTTAGACAAGAAATAAATAAAATGACTAAAGGTAGTCCTCAACTTACGCCCACATATTGAGCCCAAAATTGAATGGGTTAAGTGAGTTTTGCCCAATTTAAGACCTTTCTTGCTACAGTTGTTAAGTAAATCACTGCAGTTGTTAAGTTAGTCACATGGTTGTTAAGTGAATCTGGCTTCCCCATTGATTTTGCTTGTCAGAAAGTCACAAAAGGTGAACACATGATACTAGGACACTGCAACTGTCATAAATGTGAGTCAGTTGTCAAGCATCTGAATTTTGATCACATGATCATGGAGATGTCCAATGGTTGTAAGTGTGAAAAAAAGGCATAAGCCACGTTTTACACTGCCATTATAACTTGGAACAATAAATAAATAAACTATAAATCAAAGACTATTGTAATATATCATGAGATACTAGCATTTTGCCAAAGGGGATACAAAATAAAATCAAGAGAACAATTGGTGGGAAGGATAAAGGTTATACTTGCAATGGTTATCTTCTTATTTACAATTAACAGAAAAATTTAAAGGCACAGTTGTGACTCCTTTTGTTGCAAATTAAACTTTTTTAAACTTCCTAAGAATGCAATGATAATTTTTGAAGAATTCCTTCTGGACTTATGTAGGAGGGCAACTCAGTATGATTTATTTCTAATAGACATGCCTAGGATCACACTGTAAATCAATTCTGCATACGCACTGAAGACAAAACTCTAGAATATGTTTCATGTTGATATCAGGCAAAACTCTCAAACAGATTATTAAACTGTCACAACTTTTTGAAAAGAAGGCATCACTTGACAGGAAGCTACATGGCTTTATCAAGAGTAATTACACCAAGCAACCTGATCTTTTCCAATAGTCTGACTAGTTTAGTTGACTTCAGGAATGCAGTGAACATAGTAAATGTTGATTTCAGCAATGGTAAGGGCTAGAGTATATTACCATTAAATAGATGGTTGAATGATTGTAGTAATATATATAAATTACTATTAATATATATATATATATATATATATATATATATATATATATATATATATGTGTGTGTGTGTGTGTGTGTGTGTGTGTGTGTGTGTGTGTGTGTGTATATGTATGTGTGTGTGGGGGGGGTTCTATATCAAGCTGGAAGGAATTGCTGCAGGCATAAACCAGCAATCCATTGTGTAATGTTTAATGTTTATAAATGACTTGTATGATTATGAAACACCTTTGAGGATACTATTAAGATTCAATAGGAAGGGTGCCTTCTCAATCTATGACAGCAAAAAATTAAGAATCTGATTTTTTTTCTAACAATTTTATTTAAAAG